GGTGGAAGGCAGGATACATCTGGCTGAAGGACAAACAAGCTCTTTGTGTCTTACCCCAAGGCTTTGCAGGTTTTTCCCTCAAAAATTTCTTTTAACATGGATGTGGGGCTGAAGGTGAATCTTGCTTGGAGAGCAGGAGCTCCTGCTGCTGCCTATACCACCACTGGTGGGGTGAGGAACTTTCTTCAGGGAAGTTGCTTGACAGCAGAGAAGAAGGCAAAATATATCCATAGGGTTGGCCTGGATTTCCAGCAATATTTGGCAGTTGGTTCACAAGATCCTTAACTTTTTCCCCAGTGATCTGTGTGGTAAAACACAGCAGAGACCCTGGGTGCTGCAGCTCCTCCACAGCACCCTGGACACAGCAGAACCACCCCCATCATGGTTCTGCACCCAGGACAGGTCCACGCTGGCCCTCACCACTGGTGCTCGCATGGGATGGTGCCTGTATAGTCCTAGGGCAAAGACCAGCTCCACTTTGGATTACTGAGAGGGGTCTTCATGAGGAAGAGGCACATGGATGGACACCAATCCCTGGGGTGAGACTGTGTGAGCTGGGGAAGCTCCAGTGGCCCCAGCCATGAAATGTGGGTGGAAGAAATAGCAGAAACTGTTTGCAGTGAGGCGTTAAAAGGAGCATATAAGTAAATACTGAAGAATCAGGGCTCCGTCCCCAAATACAAAGGAGATGGCCAGACTCAGTTGAGAGGGTAAATCCAGTTCTTGCATGGCCGGGAGGACACAGACCTGTGCATAGAAGCAGAGTCTTCAGATTGGGCTGTTGCCCCACTTGTAGCATAGCTCTGGCTACATCTACAGGTGATTTGCAGCATCCCAGGTCCTGGACTGGGATTCCAGTCCTGAGAGCTGCCACTGCTGGGGGCTGACCTGTGAGGAACATGACCTGCACCCAGGGTGGGCTGAGGGACCCAGGGCGGAGCCCTTGGGTGTTCTGCTCCATGGAAGCTCCCTCCTCAGCACCACTATGTAATGTCCCCAAGCTCCAGAAGGTACCCAAGTCTGTGCCTTGCTGCTTGGGCACTTGAGTCCCCAGCAGCACCAGTAAGTGGGCCACAGTGGATCTCCCAGCTCAGAAACCAAACATCACCACACAAAGCACTGGGAGAGCAAAAGGAGGAGAAATAGAATCACATGAGGCTCTTCCCTTTAGAGGGGGAAGAAGAAAGACCCCAGTTTTAGCTCCACTGACAATAGCTGCTCAAGATCTCAGAGGCATCGGCAGCACAACATCAGATGTGAAATCCAAGATGTGCTCTGGAGGCATTTTCAAGCCAGCAAATAGTCATCTGCTGACACTCTCCTTACAACAATAATGAGTAAAAAAAAAAAAAAAAAAAAAAAGGGTAGAAATCTGATAGCATTATCCTGCCAGGCTGCTCAGTACAACCACTCCAGCTTCAAATATGAGCAAATATGATGAGTTAGGGATGGAACATGGGCAGAGCAGGAGCTGAAAGCACATTAGCTGTCCCCAGAGCTCCGGATGCACGCAGGGATCACAGACTCCCAGCCACTTGCAGGGAGTGAAATCCTTCACAAGCTACCAGCAGGGAAAAGCATCCCCATAAAAGCACGTTTTGCCAGGAAGTACCAGAAAAATGATCAGTGTCTGGGAATTGTGGTGGGAGGAGTGGTTATGCCAGAGGGAAAAAGAAAAAGAAAAAAAAAAAAAAAGAAAAGAAAAGAAAAGAAAAGAAAAGAAAAGAAAAGAAAAGAAAAGAAAAGAAAAGAAAAGAAAAGAAAAGAAAAGAAAAGAAAAGAAAAGAAAAGAAAAGAAAAGAAAAGAAAAGAAAAGAAAAGAACAGGAAGGAAAAAAAGCCACTCAGGTGTAAATGCAATCCTGAAAGGAAGATGATGGTTTCTGCAGGAGCTGGACATTAATGCTCTGCAAAACAATGACGAAGGTGCTTTGCAGAGCTCAGAGCACCCCTGATGTGGAGGCAGGAGGCAGCAAACAGGCAGCAAATGAGTGGGGTGCCTGAAATCTGGGGCTGGAAAGGTTGCATTAGACTGCTGAGGTAGGAGATCTGGGCATCATTCCAGGGAAGAAAGCAAATTTCCAACCACAAAGCCAAATTAAAATTATACAGTGGCTTGATCATAAAACTGCTCCATGGTGGCTGTTAGAAGGAGAAAGCCATGAAATGCCACAGCTACCTAGGATGAAATTTCAGGAAGAGACTTGCAAATGATCTGAGCTAGGAGAGGGGGGATCAAACCCAGCAATGCTACGAGCAAGGCAGCTGGTGGACAGGGTGTTCATACCAGCCAAGCAAGAAGATATCCAGGAGCTGGGCACATCTCTGCAAAACTGCAGCTGGCAGGTTTGGTTTTTTTTTTTTTTTTTTTTGAGGACTTGGCTGACTCCTGGACAGGTTGAAGGTGGAAGCAGAGGAAAAGCTTTGGCTTACACCAAGCTGGCCTCACTGTCACTTCAGAACACTGGACATTACTGTCAGTGTTTGGTTTTGAGCTGGAGCATAGAAGCTGACAGTAGATCACTTGCACATCTAACGTAGCTGTGGACATCAAAAAAAAACATCTCATGGCTGCTTGTGCTTCTCCAAAGCCAAGGGGTCAGCATGCTCTGCTTCAAGCAATCCAGCTTGCAGAGGTAGGGTTACAATCTTGAAAGGAAGAGAAACAGAAACCAGAGCTCAGTACTATGACTAAACTTACCTGCTTTCTGAAGGGTTTTTTCATCCCTGATCAAGTGCTGTAGAAGATCTATCATGAAAAATAATATAATCTGATATAATCAGGAAAAATGTGTCCCCTCGTCTGCCCCATCTTCCCTGCTTCAACAGAGAGGGGTGAAAGCTGAAGATAGGCAGGACACTAATCCATTGTTCATTGCTCTTGGGTTTTGTTTTTGGCTTGTTGCTCTGAGTTTGGCAAACCTGAAACATCACAAAATATGTCGATATCATCAGACCTGCATTTTGAAACAGTGTCTTTGTTGGGGGCACTAAACTGAAAAATTACATCTGTCTCTTCACAACAAACCACAAATCTTAGCAGGGGACACAGGTGAAAGAACAAGGGTGGTGTTGGCTGGCACCCAGACAGCAGCATCCCTGGGCACACACTGCGCCCAGTATGGCCCAAATATGGGCAGATTTCCTTAAGAAGGTGCCTCTGGAGCTGTGCCAGCTTTGCAGCCTCTGTGTGGCTGCACTAGGTACAGGCTCTCACACTGATCAGCAGCAGCGGGAAGAGAGCTCAGACTGCTGAGCTTCATGCTCATCTCCGCCTCACTGCTGCCCGCTGCAGCCATGGGCCTCCCCTGGCACACATGGGGTGCAGATCCAGGCTGGTGTCACCCATGCTGGGCACCTCCTGGTGACTATCCCCTGGGACAGCAGCAGGTCTGGGTGCAGCCAGGTTTATGTGTTCCCAAGCAGGGTTTTGAAATTACTGTTCTACATCAAAACCCACTTAAGGTCAAAGCTTTGTGTGGTGCTTGGGAAGAGTTCTTTTTGACCATGGAGTGTGCACAGAGCCCTGGTGGCACTGCCCACCCATCTGAGCCCCACCAGGGTCTTGTGTCCAGGCCAGCAGAGGTGTGGGAGAGCTCCACAGTGACAGTTTTGGGGCTGGCAGCAGTCACCTGTGGTTCTTCTTTGGGGGCCAGGCAGAAGGGTGATGTGGGGTCCTGGGCTCCTCCAGTCTGGAATCTTTGTTGTACTCCTGTTGCAGAACATCCCCAAGCCCCAGTGGTGGGAACAGCCTGAATGACCAGCAGATGACAGATCAGTCCCAGCCCTCTTAACACTGCTGAGCCCCTGAGAGAAAACTGGGCAGCTCAGGCAGGAGTTCTCTTTGCAAAAGTATCTCATTCCTGGTATATCCACATCCCTTACCTCTCTCACCCTCCTCATCCCTGGTACCTGCATGCGTTCATCTCTGCTGGGCTTCCCAGCAGCAGGGCAGACCATGCATGAGGAGCCCTCCCTGATGCAGCCTCCTGCTCTTGTCTCCTCAGCAGAGCCCTGAGGAAATTGTGGTTAACATAATGCTTGGCCCTTCCTACTTACCATAACGGTTTCTCCATGCTAAGGGCACTTTGTTTCTAGGAAAATGTATTTCCTCCTTGAGTCGGTGAAAAAATAACGTGCCAAAAAGCCTCATTGCTGACCCAGCCTTGCAAAGCAGAGATTTTTGGTGTGCTCCTGCTACAGGGCTCAAGAGCCCTCCCACAGCAGCCTGCCCCAGCTTACAGCTGGAGAAATGTTTCCTGTGCCATGAGCATGTCCTCATCTCCCACCTGTACATTTAGCTAGGATGAGAAGCTCTTGTGCTGTGGTGCTCAAAGGCTGACACAGGTAAGCTGGATGTGGCAGTGAGGAACATCCAGCCCCAGGGTCCTGAAGGAAGTGCTCACCTCATAGGAGGGTGTTTTCTGCTCTTCCAGTCTGACATGGCACACCTGTGCCTCAGTTTCCCCACCTGAAAGATGGAGACATAGACCATGCTGCAAGGTGCTGAGGCATAATTCAGGATCTGGGAGGGAAAGCGGGTCTGAGGGTACAGTCAGCATCACCAGCTCCATTTGCAGCACCCTGCTACTCGTCTGAAAGCAGCCAAGAGGCCTGGGAGGCTCAGGGTGGTGGGTTCCGATGGACTCTAGTCATCCCACTACTGAATCACTGTAGGAGCTGGAAGCTGATGAGCTGGAAGGTCTGAGGACAGGGACAGGAAGCATGGGACTCCCACTGTCCTTGGGTGGGCAGTGGGACCCTGGTAGGCATCCTCAGACCAGCCAACTTGCAGGACCCCATTGCCTATTCCTACATTTCATTGCTCTCACAGGTGTGATGCTCTTCTCTCCCTGCACTGACCCGCAAAGCCTTCTTCACCTTCATTTCACTCGGCACTGATTAATGACCCTTATGAAAGTACCCCATCCATCCTCCATCACTA